TGCAGCTGATTAAAGTCGGGCGTAAGGACCCGTTCTACTGTGCTGTGGTCTATCGTCCACCTGGTCCAAACAGTTCTTTCCTTCAGGGGTTTAGTGACTTTCTATCCTCCACTGTGAAGCTGTCCAGACTGGTGTTTGTTGGTGACTTTAACATCCACGTTGATGAGCCCTCCGATATCTTTGCCATGAATTTCTCCAGCCTTATGGACTCCTTCAGCTGTACCCAGCATGTTTCTGGCCCCACACACACACCAGGAGGCTCACTCTAGACCTTGTTTTTACCCTGAGTCTAAATGCTGACAGTGTTTGTCCTGAGGACGTTTATATTTCAGATCACCATTGCATTTTCTTTAACTTGTCAGTTTCTGCATCCCCACCTCCTGCTCGCCGTATGGTTAGTTCTCGTCTTCTTAATGAGAGCACAGCTAGAAATGTTTTTGCTGCTTTTGATCCACCCTGTTCTTCTAATAACGACCCAAATTCCTTAACTTCTCAGTTCAATGAGCACTGCCTCTCCATTCTGGACAACATCTGTCCTGTCAGAACCAGATCAGTTCCTGCAGTGAACCCTACTCCCTGGTTTGATGACATCCTTCGCACCCTAAAGCGCCAAAGCAGGAAAATTGAGCGCTTGTGGAAGAAAACCCATCTCCACGTCCATCTGCTGCACCTAAAGGATCTTCTGACATCCTTTAACTCTGCAGTCAGAGATGCCAGGGTTTCCTATTTTTCCAACCTGATGTCCCAGAGCAAAAGGAACCCCAAGATGCTGTTTAAGAATATCAGCAGTATTGTCTCTCCTGCCTCTCCTACAGCCTCCATCCACTTTGTTGCAGACTGTGTGAATTTTCTGTCTTTCTTTGTGGACAAAGTCAATAAGGTTAGATCTAGCATCTCTACTTCAGCCTTATCGCCGCCTCACCAGACATCAACCAGGCCCATCATCCTAGATAGCTTTGCTCCTGTTTCTTTGCCCGAGTTAACCAAACTAGTTAACTCCATGAAGACCTCTGCATGCCCCCTCGACATCTTACCCTCATCTTTGTTTAAAAGTGCTTTTACGTCCATCGGTCCCAGCGTGCTCTCTAGAATTAATGCTTCTCTGGTTTCTGGTCAGATCCCTGCTTACTTTAAGAATGCTGTAATCTACCCGCTTCTTAAAAAACCGAGTCTCAACCCCTCTCTCCATAGCAGCTTCAGACCCATCTCTAAACTTCCGTTCATCTCCAAGATCTTGGAAAAGGTTGTAGCTAAACAACTCACAGCTGCTCTTGATGAACATAACATCTATGATAGCTTCCAGTCAGGTTTTCGTAGAGCTCATTCAACTGAAACAGCTCTTCTTAGGGTCTCTAATGACCTTCTGACTCACAGAGATGCAGGGGACTGTTCTGTTCTGGTCCTGCTGGACCTGACTGCAGCCTTTGACACTGATGACCATCACCTGATACTGGAGAGGCTGAGGGACTGGGTAGGCCTATCAGGAACTGCTCTGGAGTGGTTCTCTTATCTTTCTGAGCGCTCCTTTTCTGTGGTCATCTCCAAGTTTAGGTCCTCCAACACCTCCCTTACCCATGGTGTCCCACAAGGTTCTGTGCAGGGGCCTCTGCTCTTCCTCCTCTATCTACTTCCTCTTCAGCACATCCTGAGTTCCTTCAAAGGAATCTCCTACCATCTTTATGCAGATGACATCCAATTGTACATCTCCTTTAAGCCCCATGAGATGTCTAAGCTGCAGCTGTTACACACCTGCTTAGGCTCTATCAAAACCTGGTTGGCTGGGAGCTTTCTACAGCTGAATGAAGATAAGACTGAGATCCTCATCTGTGCCCCAGACATGCTGGTTCCCAAAGTCAGAGACTCTTTTGGTCAGCTTGCTTCCCACACCAAACCTTCTGTCAGGAATCTTGGTGTGACCTTTGACCCAGCTCTCACCCTGGATTCTCATGTCAGTTCTCTTGTTCGCTCTTCCTTCTTCCATCTCAGGAACATTGCTAAGCTGAGTCCCATTCTGTCCCGCTCTGAACTTGAGACAGTTATCCACACCTTCATCTCCTCACGCTTAAACTACTGCAACTCTCTTTTCACATGTCTGAGCAGAACCTCCCTGAACCGTCTACAGGTGGTTCAGAATGCCTGTGCTCGGCTTCTGACCAAGTCCTCCAAACACACCCACATCACCCCGCTTCTCCAGCTTCATTGGCTGCCAGTCAACTTCAGGGTTCATTTCAAGATCCTGGTTCTGGTCTATAGGGCCTTACATGGACAAGCACCATCTTACATTGGTGATCTTCTTAGTCCCTACACACCCAGCAGGTCCCTGAGGTCCAGTGATCAAAGCCTACTGGTTGTGCAGCACCAGGCTAAAGACCAAAGGTGACAGATCATTTGCTGCTGTGGCCCCCAGACTCTGGAACTCTCTTCCCCTGAGCCTGAGATCAGTGGACTCAGTGGTCTCCTTTAAAAAGCAGCTGAAGACTCACTTGTTCAAGCTGGCTTTTGTGTGACCTTCTTCACCACTCTCCCTTTATTCTGCTCTCCCCACCTATTCCACCTTCCTCGGGATCCACTGATTTCCCTCTTTCCTATTCCCTCTCTCTCTTTCTTTACATTTTTTAATCACAATTGTCTATTTTTTTGCTCATTTTAAATATATTTTTAACCACTTTATAAATTATTTATTATATTTTTACATTTTTTGTTTTTGTGAAGCGTCTCGGGATTTTTATCATGAGAGGTGCTATAGAAATGTTCTATAAGGGTGCTATAGAAATGTTCTATAGAAATCTTCTTCTTCTTCTTCTTCTTCTTCTTCTTCTTCTTCTTCCAAAAAGATCTCCTCTCCTTGATGGCATCACACTACAGACTACAGGTTTAACATCCCATGTTCCCTTTCTACACCCTGACTCAGACGTGGGGTTCACTGTCCTTCCTAAGGACCTTTAATCAGTTGGAGACAGTTCCCCCTTCATACAAAAATACCTACAAAATACGAACAAAAAGGAAATGCTGAGGAGGTTTTCATTTGAATTTCAACTCCAAAGGAAGAAAACACACATAAGTAAAAGCAGACTTTGCTGTGTTTTACTTTTTGTCTTTGCTTGACCTGAACTTCTCAGTGAACGATTGTTTTCACTGTTTCTCTGAGAGCTGAGTGTTTCCTTTTTCTTTCTCTGAAAAATGTGTTGTGATACCAGAAGCTACAAAACAATTACTGATGACATGAGAATAAAACAATCTCGGAAAATGATTAAAGGAAGTGAAGCTGAAAAAAAAACCTCAGTTAGGAAACTCTTCAAAGGAATTTTGTGAAATACAAGATACCACATGAGATACAAAGAGCTTCAGGGTGACCTGGAGGTGTCACTGTGGTGGTGTCAGTCTGTTTCACCAAAGAAGCAAACTTTAGTAAGTAGGTCACCAAGAGTGTATTTAAAAAAAAAAGAAGAACAAAGTGTTGTTTTCTTAAATACTTCACTAGACACTGTCCAATTTTAAGGTCCCAAAGACAGAAAAGCTAAAAAAAACAAACATTCCATCAGATTCAGTAGTATCCAGTACTGGCATGTAGTAGTTTCCCTGGTCTAACCCTTATTTCACACTGGAAGCATCAAGTGGTGCTTAACGGCAGTGGAACGGTTCAATGTGGTCCATTACACACCGGGACAGCTTCCTTGCAGTGCTCCTTGCTAGACTCGCGAGATCACAAAATCCTTCGAGACTTCCGCCATCCTAGTCACTCGACTCTTGAGATCACAAGATCCTCTCAAGTCGGGATTGTAAAACTTTAAGGTGGAAATTTTGGCCTTGAGATCTACAGTTTTGAACAGAAAAAAAGACGTTTGACAACTATAAAAATCTATTTCAATTGACTTCTGATTACTTTAAACCAGTTAGTTTAGTCGTTTTTTAATTTATAAAAGTCATGTTGATTATTCACTATATGGGGTAGGCAACCCTGGTCCTAGAGAGCCACAGTCCTGCTTGTTTTCCAACTATCTCTGTTGTTCCTGCTGTTGAATACCTGGACCAGGTGTGTTCAGCCAATTAGAAGCTGCAAGTTCATGCAGGACTGCAGCTCTCTAGGACTAGGGTTGCCTTTACATGTAAAATACTTCTTCAAATGTTCTTCGCTTAACATTTAAAGAAGCTAATTTGTGCAAGTATCATAACAAGCATGATGCAAGTTATAATATCAAGTGTTTGACATCCAAGCTCGGGAGATGAAGTGGGTTGTCCAGTGATTGAAGGGTTGCTGAGTGCTTAGAAAGGTATGCAAATCAAATCTATTTATATTATTTAAAAGAAGTAAAACATCATTTTAAATAAGGTCAATGCACAAGTTTTTTTTTGTTAGAGAGAATAAAGTTTTCAAAACACATTAAACAAGAAAATGAGAAACGGAAAGTGTTTTTCTTGTGAAACATAAGAGCCTGGCATTTGGTTTTAAAAAGATAAATCTGTTGTTTTCCATCATCATCAGGTCATGGAGCTGGTCTGAAATGCTGCTGTTGCTCATTTAGAGATGAGAGGAGCAAATGTGAGTGGGTATTAAATAAACCAGCACTTGAACTGGGAGATAAATCCTTTCATGTGTTGGTAAATGTACATTCCCAGTGGCTCAGAGGAATTAGTCTGGACTGATAAGCACTGTAAGTGACACACCCGCTCATCTGTGCAGTGCACTCTGGGGAAATATAGACTTAAATACCATTGTGTTGCTCTGAAAAGGGAAAAAGAAGAAGAATTGCTCTGAATTCCAAGAGTTATAGGAAGAATGACCTTTGTGGGGAAGAAACATTTAGTCGTCTAGACTTTTTAAGCAACACATTTCCATCTCCATAAATCCTGGACTGGGACAATGCTGCTCTTTGGAGGACAGAATAGTTCAGTCTGAGCAAGGGAGTGACATCATCAACCTTTATAATGACACTAATGAAGGACATTTATCTAATTAATATTACAGTATGTGGATTACTTGCAACAGATTGAGCCTTTACCTTCTCTTGGAGCTGCAGGATCCCAAGCAGACCACATTTGGACAAAGAAAAAAGGAGTCCAGCACACAATGTAAGCCAGAACCACAACAAATGTCATTTTCACTGTGCGGATTTTGGCTTTTGAAATGAGCCTGACGCTGCTCACACGTGACAGGGGATGAGCGCCCTTGGATGGCCTAGGAGCGGGAGCCAAGTAGTGCTCCCTTCTGGTTTTCATATTGATGTTCTGCCATATTTTAAAGCATATCAAGCCATAGCAGACGCTTAATACCGCCACAGGAAGGATGTATATGCTGAGACTCATCCATGTAATGTAGGCTTTTGCGCCCCACGGCTCCACGAAGTCCCCCCAGCAGTCGTACACCCCGCTCCCCACCTCCTTCAGGGAAAAGATGTAGACCTGCGGGGTGCTGAAGACCAGACTGAGGATCCAGGACACGATCACACAGAAGCGATCTTTCCCCTTGTGGACAGAGCGAAGTGGCTGGCAGATTGCCAAGCATCGATCCACGGACATCAGGACCAGCATGTACGTGGACGCAAACATCCCCACGACCTGGAGGTATTTCACCAGCCTGCAGAGTAAATCGGGCCCGTAGAAGCGGAAGGTAATGTCCCAGATGAGCTGCGGCAGGACCTGGAAGACCGCGACAACCAGGTCCGCGATGCTCAGGTGTTTCATGAAGTAGTACATCCGGGAGTGGCTGTGCTTGGTGGTGTGGATCGCCCACAGAACGCACAGGTTTCCCGTCAGCGCGAGCAGGAGCACCAGGACCAGGACGGTCACTTCCACTTTGGCTACCTCCTCGTTTCGTTTCAGAGGGTTCACAGTGGAATTTCCCGAACGACTTTCATTGACTTGACTTGAGTTGCACCACGAGACGTTTTGAAACCAACCGCCCTGTACGCGTAAAAGCTCCTCCATCGCGCGTAAAAGCGCCACTTTGGCGCAGCCAGTTGTCACATCACACACACGGACTCTGCCAGCCAGAGTTCAGTTGTTCTCCCAATGATCTTTGGTCGGAGCTCCTCTGTAACGTCCAGAAACACAGCTGTGGTGTGGAGAGAGGAGAAAGGATGCGTAATTTAAGCCTTTGAAGAAGAGATTCCGTTTAAAAGAAGTTCACCTGAAAACAAAGAAACGTGCAGCGGCTTTCTCAGTTGGTTCTGGTTCTGGTCCAGCTGGGCGTCTGGTCTGCTGACGCTCTGGATCCCTCTGATATCTCTGGCCGCCTCCCGGAAGCAAACTGCTGCCTGCGCTCAGCTCAGACAGGCTGTCTGAGACAGCATCTCCTAATCTCCTAAATGTCTTTCTCCTACTGTCTCTCTTTAACCTCCATCATACTTGGTTTAACTCCAAACTTTTAGCATCAGTATTTGGAGAGAGTCTCAAAACACTGTTGAACCAGAAGAGATTTGTGTTTTATTGAAGCCATGAATTTGGTTCAGTAAACTTTTAAAGATGTTTAGCTTAGTGAGGACTCACGTAACCAAGACCCTATTCAGACCAATGACTTATGACACCACTTGGACATGTTTTTGTTGACTTGGAATATTTGGCATCAGGGTGAACATGAAGATATTTACAGAAATATGAGTAACACCCTTTTTCAGATTTATAAAAAAAATCATGTATTTTTTTTTCAAATAGTTGCACCTTTACAAACGTTCATATTTTGGGGGGAAATGAATTATTCGTCTTTGTTTTTATTCATTAATTTGATTAAAATCATAATAGGACTTGACTCAAAAATTCAATAAAAATATCTGATACTTGAAAAATGACTTGGTCCCACATCTGATCAGTTTCTTTCTTAAATGTACAATAAAAAATAAAAGCAGAAAAAGATTAAAACTAAATCTTACTTAATTACCATACACTGAAAAAAATAATCGGTCAAAACAGTAGACTTTATTATTTAATTGCATGTAAATTTTCCATGTGATTCCATTACATAAAGTCATAAAAGATCCACTTCAATTGTAACCTGTTCTAATGTTTACTTACATTTGACATGTGTTTAACTATTTTAATAAACAGCAGTTCTGATTTTATAAATGTTAGCTAAATCTTACTCACGGCAACGCAGAGCTGCCACCCATGCAAAATAAAATTGGAGCAATACAACATTCATCTTATCTTTATTGTTTAAACAATTTAATTTTCACGTTCTTACAATATAAATATCACATTTGTACAATAATAATGTATTGTACAAATGTGGAGGTCATATTTTTAGAACAATAAAGTTGTGATGCTATAACGTGATATTGCTCCAATTTAATTTTGCGGTGGTGGCAACATACACTTCCATATTATTATGGCCAGTAATGATTTTATTTTATTTATTTATATATTTTTGGGTGCATACAGTTTTCTTCTTTTATCTCCTTTAGCCCAAATGGAGCACAAATGTCTCTCAATGGATTTTCTGCCCCTACCAAATTCTTTAAAAGTCCTAAAAATGAGATTTGACTGTAGGTTTACTAAACATACTTAGTTTAGGTTTACACTTAGTAGATTTGATTTGAGTTTAACCGTTTTGATAAATAACAGTTGGGATTTTATACATTTTTGTTAAATCTTACAGAAAAGTTTTAGCTGGTTATTACTAGGGACAAGAATCAATTTTTTATAGTGTACTTGAGGATTTTATTTAATTTTAACCCAAAACAATCAGTTTTTTTAAATCATTTAAAGAGTTTAAATAATTTTTCACCAAGAGGGAATAAAGTCTACTAATTTAAATTCATGAAAAATCATTAAGAACTTGTTTTATTTCATTTAAGCAAATTATTGTTTTAAATCAATTATCTGAAGTGTTTTTCTGAAGCAGGGGCTTTCTGTCTGTCCTCAAGTGGGCATTGAGTGCTTTAATTTTATTCTAAACTTAACTAAATACTGAGATTTTTATTAAATGATCTCAGATGTTTAGTGTGTGCACTAAGTAGAACCAGGCTGTTTTTCTCCTAAGAGAACTCAAAACATGTCTAACATGAATGTTTCTGCCATACACCAAATAAACACAAAATATGAGTTTTTAAAAGGAAAGTTCAAAAGATATAAACAACAGAACTGATAACATGACAATTTAATTAGACTTTACAATAATAAATGACATATTTTCATCTGCTGTGTTTTAAAAATCAGTCATATATGTCTTTAATTTTTAATTCATAAACACAGCACCAGAAATCACCTTAAAATGCATAGTCAGGGATATATGACGCTCACCCTGCAGGTGGAAGATTATAAATACCTGAGTAACGTTATATTTATACCCTGCAGAACTCACAGAGCAATGTTCCCATATGAAATAAGTTTTAGATGCTGAGGTGTGATGCATGGCTCGCAGGTGTTGGCCTTTTGAAATCAATGTAAGGACGTGTGAGCTCTTCAGATTGGTGTAGCAGGACTGGGTGTTCAAACCTGCAAATAGAAAAGAATGTTAAAAAACAGATCTTGATTTTTTTGTGTGACTGAAAGAGTAAAATGTTCTGCAAGACTTTAAAAAGATTATGTTATATTTTCCCCCAACACATGCAGGTGTGTGCTTAATGACTGGATGCAAAACAACCAACAAGACAGATTTACTAGTTTATTTATTATCTATTTATTTAAATCCATTCTCTTCCACTTATCTGGGGTCAGGTCGTGGGGGCAGCAGCCAAATCAGGGAGGCCCAGACTTCCCTCTCTCCAGCCACTTGGACCAGCTCCTCCACGGGAATTCAAAGGGTTCCCATGCCATATAAGAGACATAGACCCTGCAGCATGTCCTGGGTCTTTCTTTGGGTCTCCTTCTGGTTGGATGTGCCTGGAAGTCCTAGATGCCAGAGACACCTCAACTGGCTCCTCTTGATGTGGAGGAGCAGCGGGTATACTCCAAGCCCCTCCTGGAAGACCGAGCTTCTCACCCAACCTCTAAGGGAGAGCTCAGACACCCTGTGGAGAAAATTTATTTCAACCGCTTGTATCCACGATTCCATTCTTTGGTCACTACTCAAAGCTTGTGACCATAGGTGAGGGTAACGTAGAATGACTGGTAAATCTAGATCTTTGCCTTCCGACTCAGCTCTCTCTTCACCACAACAGACCAGTACGCCCGCATCACTGCAGACGCAGCACCAATCCGCCTACCAATCTCACGCTCCATCTGTCCTTCACTTGGGAACAAGACACCAAGATACTTATTAAACTCCTCCACTTGGAGCAGGACCTCGTCCCTGACCTGGAAAAGGCATTCTACTCTTTTCCTTTCATTTTCTTTTCTTTGCTTTTATGTATTCATTTTTTCTGTTTGTTCATTCATTCATTAATTCAGTCAGTCATTTTTATTTAGTTAATTAATTTATGACATTGTTGCTTGCAACCCACAACACCTTTTCATTTAAAGATCCCACCTCCTCTGCTGCAAAGAGTCTACATCAGAGTAGTACAACAAATCCTGTAAGAGGTCATTACACAGAGTTACATTAAGCCATAATGACTTCAGGACCTGAAGCAGCCATTTTCTTTGTTTATGTCCCAGGCTGGCAAAAAAAAAGAAGACATTTTTGAAATTCATCCAGAAACATCTGAAGGCATCATCGAGGCTAAAAGCCTAATACATTAAGTAATACCTGTTAACGGACCTTGGTTGATGCTTTCTCATTGATCCAAACAAATCCCTAGCCTGCCTTCTCCTTCTTCTTCAGGCACTCGAGGAGTACAGACGCTTCCCTCTTTCGCTCCCTCATCTTTTGTTCCTAAGGCTCTTTGTCCTGTCTGTCCACAGAGCGCTTCTCTGCATTTCTTCAGAAAAACTCAATTTTTTACTAACCATGGATTTGATAAACTGATCATTCAATGCAATCAATAAGATTTTTTCAACAATGAGAACGTAGCAGGGGGCTCCCACATGTCCACAGGGGACGCACCTGGTGGGATATATTTTGGATTCCTGAAAGGAGTGGAAAATCATATGCCTCTCCCAGCTGTCCATTGAGGACATTGAAGACGTGTGGATATTTGATCTGATGATCAATGGATTTCTCCTGATTGGAGTGGGAGGAAATCTGGTTTTCTGGAAATTTGGGAGGACGGGAGCGATTGGAGGGCGAACCGCACCCACGGAAAGCACCGAGACTTCTCAGACTGGGACGTTACTTTTAGGTGAATCGTAAGCTGGACAATGTTCTAGCTGCGATACCGGTATTAGTGTGCAAACTGGATGTCATCTCGGAGAGAGGCACCGGATGGTATGGACAAGCTTAAAACCCAAAATTGGCTTCACTGAAGGACTGGAAATGATCAGTTTAAAGACTGAAGGCAGAGAGGAAAATTATCTCAGCCTGACCCAAACAAATTCTTGTTATCTGAATCTGATGCCCTGGTAGCCTTGAGCTGCAAGCAACTAAGACCCCCACGAAGGAATGCAGACAGCCCCCCACCCCCCGCCTTCGGATTGGTGGACTTCAGCCTGGCGAGGTCATCAGCTGGAGGAGACAATGGGCTCCTTGCTTCTCCCAAGATCTCTCTCCCACCTGTGACTGTACAGTAGATGAGCGCCGTAGATGGCTGCTCTTGCTGGGGGAAACAGGACCCCCCGGCCTTCCTATTGGAGTATCATGTTATATTGTATTGTCTGAAGTCTGTTGCATATCTGTCTGAGGTGTTTTTTATTTTTATTTATTTTTTTTGCAGAGCAAAGCTGCCCTCCCTGTGGAGGGTAACTCTGAAGTGCCTTTTTTCCCTCCACCTGAACCAATCCTCATGTAACCCTCTTATCTCTATTAAGGTAGCGCAACTCGGGTTGCGAATGACCACAGTCACCAATTCTTGTCATGTGTCTTGCCCATGTATGTCTGATCTCTGAATTGTGTGTACTGAAACTCTAATTTCCCTCTGTGATTAATAAAGTATTGATTGATTGATTATTGCTTGATTGACCATGTTGGCTATCTTCTGCCTTTAATTTAAAGCAGGGGCGCCAAATATATGGGCTGTGGGTCAAATCCGGTTGCTAGGGGATTCAATGTGGCCCACTGGAAAAAGGTTGAAAGTAAAATAAAAAGCATGAAAATTCTAAATTCAAATGATGCTCGAATGTCCCTGGATCTAGAGATGGTCCAGCAGGAATGACCTGATTTTAAAAGCAGGGAAATTGATGAACTTTTGAAACAAAATTAATTAAACAAAGCTAAGCTGGATATAGTATGGTTATTATTTTTAACCCATTCTTAAGGTATAAATTGTCTATTGTATTGAGTTTATTTTATCTCATTACGATTGAACTTATTGTATTTTAGTGTTTTCTCCCTCTGCTGCATAACTTTTACCTTACTTTTACTTGGCTGTAAACGAAACA